TTTTTTTTTTTTTTTTTTTTTTTTTCTGCCTCTCGGTTTTACCAAAAAATGGTGGGCATTCTAGATGTGTCGCTTTTTCGAGTCACATGGGGGTGGAAAGAGGGGTGTGAAAATGGTCCACACCATTTTTTTTTTTTTTTTTAAACATCTACAGTGGGGATGTACAATGACCGGTGAGCGGCTTTGTTCTGGCGTGTAATGACCTTTTGGCTCCGCCCTGCGTTTGCCTCGCAAAAGAGGAACAACAGAACGCTATTCTGTGTAATATGGTTTGACGCGATTCCACTTGTCCCTAATTGAAGTAAATGGAAAGCAACTAAACCTAACTGATTTGACTGACCTGTCCATCGCCACGCTGTTTTTTTTTTTTTTTTTGCGGGTGTAGGTTCACACATGAGAAACAGCCATAATGGCGTGGAAGAACAAACAAGTCTGAACGTGCTTGGCACCCCTTCCGCTGAAATACAAATCTCTGTATTGTTAAAACCACGCTGAGGGATAATCAGCCAAATTGAAGGTATACTTTTTTTTTTTTTTTATGGCGGCGTATCACTCGTTGTGTCCCTTTCTACAGCGAAGTGTCCTTGCCGGTCAGGTAAAAAAAAGGGGAGACCAATTTCACCGAGCCTTTGTAATAAGTAGCCGAGTAAGTGGAGCAAAGAAACAAAAAAAGCTAAGCTCCAAAACGGCGAAGCATATCAACTACGTGTTCGAGAAGAAGAAGAAGGCGGAAGAGGAAAAAAACTTTAATATTATAAAGAGGAAGAAGCTGCAGGAGGTTCCTTCTTCCCAATTTCACTTCATTTGCCACCTTAAAAATGGGGAAGTGCAATCCGCACAAAGGGGGAGCGTGTCGCTGCTAAGCGGGGCTCTGCCTCCCTCTGAGCAGGCGCAGCTTCCGTGGGGAGAAATGACCCCAAGTGAGGAAGCCACAATTGGGGAAAATTGTACCACTGGGGAATTGTTTCCAATTGGGGAAAATTGTATCATTGGGGAGAATTGTACTACTGGGCAAAACAGCAGTGCTGTGGAGGCGTTCCGATTCTTCCCGCGCGCAACGATCCGGCAAGACAGGAGGGAGAAGGACCTGAAGAACGTAAGTGCGCTCAGCAGCATCGTCCATTTGGGCAGGAACAAAGACATATGCAATACCTATCTTAGAGCCAGCCTAATTAACATATACCACGAGGAAAACCACAACCACGTAATTCTAAAGATGATGAAAGAATTGCAACGCACACACACTTATATGAACAGCCGACAAATAAGTTTAATCATTTACAACCTCTACCAGTACTTCTTCATCCAAGTAGTAAAACAAATTCACGCAAAGGATAACCCTTCGAATTATGAATGGTACTTAAGATTATTTTACGTTGTTGACGATGGCCTTTTCGTGACCCCCCCAAATAAGGGGGACTGGTACAAAAGCGATATGCCGGTGGACAACAGCTTGATGAGAAACCTTCTAATAACGTTGTCCAGAATTGTGAAAATGTATATGCATTGTGAAAATGACCTGAACACACTAAGCAAGATCGCTTTCGTTTATTCGTACTTCTCTGTGAGGGACAATGCCCTCGTGGAATTGCTCATTCGTAACATTTTCGAATGCATGGACATGAAAAAAAATAAAAAAATAAAATATTTTTCGCTAGCTGCTTTAGCCCTAGAAAAGTGGGAATTGTACAGCGTCAAATTCATGCATGCGTACTCCTCCCTTGTGACAAAGACAATTGACAAGTTGACAAGGAAAGGGGAAGAGCTGCTTAGTAATGGGAACAAGATGAACAAGAATAAAAAAAAAACGAAATTAAAACATGTCAACCTGTTCGATGTGCACAAAAAGGAGAAAAAAAAATTACCACTCATCAGTTTGAAAGACATTCTGACTTATTTATATGTGTTGAACAGGAACGACGTGAAGGATAATTACTTTGTTGAGAAGCTGCTGCGATATGCAAGCTTGTTTTGGGGATATGCCTCTGAAGCACAGGGGTGCAACCCCGGGGGGGAGTGTGTCTCCCTCACTGTGAACAAAAAAAAGGAAAGCTTCAACACTGATACTGTTTCACAAAAAAATAAACTCCTAACAAGCCCCGCATTCCGTAGCGCCCTCCATTCAAATAGGAAACGACACAAAAACAGAAGTAACATGATGACGCTTTATGCATTGTATAGAATTAGTAAGCGTGCTGCTCGTCGAAGAGAAATGCCCCCCAGTTCTTTTGCAAATCAAGTTTGGCTGCACGGGGATGGAGAAGAGGGAGGGGAAACCAACTTACCAATTCATAACGAGCCCGTCGAACTAAGCATGTCCAATTGGAAAAATGACCCATGTGATAATACGCCTACTGAGAACAGGAGTGTATTTTCCCCAGCCGATTACGGGCCCGAGTCCACTGTCTTCATCAACAAGCAGCGCACGCGGGTAAGCTTCTACAAAAAGGAGGTCATCCCCATGACAATTTTTCTGCACCAACTAACTCAATATGATTACGCATTTTTAAAAACAAAAGATGACTTTTCAAAATTGACAAAACTGTACACGGATGTACTCCTCAACAGTGACCTTAAGAATCTTCACTTTTTTTACACCCACAAGATTGTAAGCGTTGTCAGACACACAAATATATGTAGCAACGTCCTAACCACGTCATTGTACACGTCTGCTCTCCACAAATGCAGACGATATATTGCCTTAAAAAATGCAGACGTCTTCTCCCACATGTGTGCTCAGAATGTATGCGCTTGTGTTGTGATCCTCTACATACAAGTTTTGAAAAATAAAATAAAAGATGACCCCTTAACGGAAGTGTTAAGTGAGTTCTTGATCAAAATTTTTTCAACGTGTCAGCCTGAACAAGTCACCCATCAATTTTTAATCTCTCCTCTGAAGCTACTAAGCATGTTGCAATGCCTCCGTGTGAAAGTGGGCCCACGTGATGACAACCATTACGTTGTACCGGAGCCTATGGACAAAACAAATGGAGTAACAAAGAAGGGCAGCAATGTGGATGAGCTCCCATCCCTCAATACGAACAACCAAATCGACGAACAAAAAAACAACGTTAAGTCCAACGGACAAAATGCATTATCATCACATAAGACCAAATTAGAAATTTTAAACGTAACAATTCTGACAATTTTAAAAGGGCTAAAGTGGAAGAACAATGTGGATAATTCTTTGCTGCTCAAAAGTTACAAATACATGAACAGACTAGCTGTGCACGAAAAAAAAGCAAAGTTTTGTATGAACATGGTCAGGCAAAAAGATCATTCCTTGTGCAGCAAAATAACCCACGCGGTAAAGGAAAAAATGCGCGACTTCAATTGCGAGGAATTGATGAAGGTCTACTTGTACAGCGGAAACAACTTCAAAAGGAAAACTCTCCTCTTGAGAAACTTCTTTACAATTTTGTTGCTGTCAAATGGGGGGATGCTTCACAGAGCAGATAACAAATTTTTTATGTTGTTTTTTAAAACCGCCTTAACACATGTGCACCTGAATGAAGTGGGGGGGGGAAAAAATACATATTTTTTTAAAAATTCGAATGATATAATGAACAAACTGATGGTGCTATGTAGGACTTATATTTGCACACATGTCGACAGCATGCGGAGGAAGGATATATACTCACTAATCATGCACAGTGTTCTCCATTTATGTTCACTTTTCCAAAAAGGAAGAAATAAGGTGAATTACCGTTCTGTGAAAGGCAACCCTATTGCGCAAATCCTTGTGGATATTGCGAGCACCACGTTGAAGAGGTGGACCTTTATGAACGACGAAAGGAGTCTACTCATTTATGTGTGTCTACTTTGTTTTCGCAACATGGCGAAGAAAAATAAAAAAATTAAAAATATATTTTTTAATAAAAATGATGATAAGCATTTTGTAGGGAAATTGTCAAACGTGTATGCAGAACAAGTTGAACAAATCTGCCTCTCCGAGTTTGACCAACCCGCCACGACGTATACGAACCCCTTGCTACTTTTCCTTTTACTTAAACACAAAATAATTTTACGTCACCATAGGAGCAGGAAAGATATGCGAATTGTACAAAGGCTGGTCGGCAGTGGAACCCCACTTCACCGCCTCATGATGAATGTAGCAAGTGACACTCAATTCATGCGAGTCATCCTTTATGCCATAACGAAAAATTATTCCATCCTAATGGAGGAAGACCTTTTGGACAATTTGCATTTGCGCACAAGTACCGTGCAGGAGCAGCCAACACGGAACAGCACGACATCCCCTTTTCACTTGTCAACACAGAATAACCCCGGAGACGTAAGCGAGTGGATTGAACCTATAATGCGCATGTCAACTTGTGAAGATCACCATTTGGATAAAAGCATCCTTTGCAATTTTGTTGCACGTAAGAAGTCTGTGGAGAAGGCTATAAACGTCGCATTAAGCATGAACATGTCGGAAACGTTTTGTTGGTAAAGCTTGGCACGTTGGTCCGCTCCCGTGGTTCGTGGACAATTTGTAACGAATTTGTGGGCAATTTGCAGTTGTTTTTCTTTTTTTTTTTGCGCCACCCTGAATGCAACTTCTTGCCCAACTTTTTGTTTTTTTTGGTTTTCCGTCGCGCGCATGCGCATATGCCCGTGCAGAACGGCCATTTGGCAGCTGAAAGTACAGAGAAACGGAACAGACTTGCCCCAATGACAAACCGCCACTCGCATATGTACCTGTGCCGTATGCACGTATAACCCCTACATCGATACCCAACTGCTGATAGGTGTTGTATTACCACGCTTATCTCATGTTAGAGTGATAAAGTACCCCCCGTTTGAAAAAAGAAAAAAAAAAAAATCTAACCAAAAATTAAAAAAAAAAAAATATGAACAGAGTTAAAAGAAAAAAAAAATCTAACCAAAAGTTTTAAAAAAGTATGAACAAGTCATAAAAAAAAAAAAAAAAACATATATATAATATACATGTATAGAAGATAAAACATCAGGGCGCTGTGGATCTTCCTCAAAGGGTTCCTTTTTCTTCCCCTTTCTGATGGTGTAAAAAGAGCAACCGAAGGAAAACTGGCGTTATAAATAAGCGTGCGTCCTTGAGGAACATACAGAACAGTGTACCTAGATATAGAAACATGCAGAGGGAAAAACTCTGTTATGCGCAGCTGCAAGCAAAGATTTTTTCATAATTTTTTTATTTGACCGAGAGCAGGCACTTCTGCAAGCTGTTCACTGGATTATTTGCTTGTACATTCTGATAAAGGGTCACCTTTTGCGAACCCTTTTTTTTCCCCCCCTCCCGCATTTGTAAAAATACACACTGTGGTTCACTCCCCTACCTCGGCATAGCAGCCCAAGTCTTTCAAATTGAAGATATAGGTGAAGTAACTTTTTTTTTTTTTTTTCTTGTCTGGAAAATACTCAACAAAATGGAGGGAGAGAAAGGTACCAACCAAACGAACTATCTTAGTGACGAAGATTTACACAAAAAATATATCCAGCTTCGTGAATGCATCGAATTGGAAAAGGATGACATGGACAATTGTCATGTGAAGGAAATGAAAAAGTTGCTGATCACAGCTTTGTTAAAATATAAAGCCATAAAATTTGGTGATTTTATTTTAAAATCAAAGAGAAAATCAAAATATTTTTTTTCAAGTGGAGTATTAAATAACATTGTTTCTGGACACATTATTTCGTTTTTAATTACTCATTTAATTTTAAAGGAAAAAATTCCCTTCCATTATTTGTTGGGGGCATCTTATAAGGGTATTCCAATAGCAACCCTAACTAGCCATTTTTTATTCCGGACGAATAAATTTGCAAATGTTTTTTACCTGTACGACAGAAAGGAAAAAAAAGATTATGGTGACAAGACGCTCATTGTGGGCAATTTGGACGAAGCAGTTAATGGCGATGTACACAATACAAAGGAAGACAAAAGCGAAAAAAAGGTAATCATAATTGACGACGTCTTTACCTGTGGCACTGCCCTCACGGAGATAATAAACAAGCTAAAGGCATACCCCAAGTTGAGGGTCGTCGCTTTCATCGTTTTACTTAACAGAAATGAGTACGAATTGAATGAGAACAATGAAAAGGTGTACTTCAAGGATTTGTTTGAGCAGAAAATGAACATCCCTCTTTATAGCATTCTTAGTTACAACGAGGATTTGGAACCTCTCATGGGTTAGGCGTCAAACCGTTGGTCATCTCTCTCTGGCGGAGTTGGTGTCGAACCTTTAGCCATCACTCCCCCGGAGGCGATTCATATTTCTCAATTCTTCAAACGCAAAAAAAAAAATTTGGGAAATATAGTTAGTCCGTGCAGAAATATGCACATGTGTTGTACCCCCTACACACTGTCCAGGTGCGCCCGGGCACAGGAATGCACACACAAATGTGCAAACCCATGTGTAGGCCCACATGCAGGTGAACAAAGAACAACTGGCACAAATAAATACAGCGTGGAGAGTACCAAGACAAGAAAAAATGAAAAGCTTATTAGGCAAAAAAATAAATAAATAAATAAATATAATAAAATGGTGAAGATAAAGTATAAAGGAGAAAATGGGGGTGATGCAAAAAAGAAAAAAAAAAAAAAAAAAAGAATGTTTGATGAACAAAAATTTTAAATTAGTGAATCATTAGGTTAAAAAAAAAAAAAAAAAAAAAAAAAAAAAAAAAAGGAAAAAACTTATCCTCATAATTACTGCACTTGAGCACGTGCAGGCGCCCGAATGGCTATGTTACACAAGGGCACTTACACATGTGTGTAACAACCTTGGGCTGATCTCACAGGTACACGCGTGGATGCGCATCCTGTGCAATGCCTCATCGGCATATATATTTGCTCCTGCCGAATTCCATTTTTTTAAAACATATAAAATTTTTTTTGCAAACGTGAAAAGGAGGGGCCATGGGGTCTGATCTTCTGTATCTTTCTCCTTGGGGTCAATGGAACACATGACTTGGAAAAAAAAAAAAAAAAAAAGGGGGGGGAGAGAGCAGCGGCGAGACCCAGCAGAACCAAGCGAAGTAGGCGAAGTAAGCGAAGCGAAGACGGAAGGCCCGACGACGGTGCACCATTCAACGATTCACATTTGAGTATTAACCCGCCCTTTTTGCAGCTCCACTTTGTCATCCCAGCTCGAACCCATCGGACTCACGTGCACACTTGCACAACGCACATTTTCATGGCGCCCCCCCCCTTTTTTTAGCAGCACTTCTTTTTGTTATCCTTTATCGGCTTGGCATTCAAATTGATGTTGGCCCTTCCCTTCTGCTGGTTCTCCAGCTGCGATTTATTCTTTATTTCATGCGCCATGGTCTTAAAGGCTTGTTCAACGTTGTGGGCAATTTTTGCTGAAGTCTCTAAAAACTGAATGTTGCAACTATCAGCTAACTCTTTTCCTTCCTCGTAACTCACATTTCGATCATTTTTTAAATCAATTTTGTTTCCTATGAGGATTTTCTGTACGTCCTCCGATGCGTATCTGTGAAGGGGAAAAAAGGGGTACGTACATCCGTGTGGGGCAGGTAAAGAATGCGACACGCGTAGAAGGGGTGCGAAAAGAATCAGTGCAGATGGTTATACTTGGCCACCAAGCCACACTCCTCCTTAAAACCCTACTTTTCTATCTCGATTATCCAATTCTTCACATTGTTGAAGCTGTCCCGGTCGGTCACGTCATACACTATGATGATACCTGTGAGTGTGGGAGTGGATGGGGGAGGACGATGTACGGTGGTCTGTGTGCATATGGGGTCACCTAGATATAATTGACTGGACGCATACAAACTGTAATCACCACGCATGTGCGGCCACGTTTGCACCATATATTATTTTTAAAAACAAATGAGTAGTACCTTGGGCTCCCCTATAATAGGAAGACGTTATGGTTCTGAATCTTTCTTGTCCAGCTGTATCCCACTGCAATTTTGTTAAGAAAAAAAAAAAAAAAAATAATTACACAAGTGATTTATATGGTATATCCACTCCGATATCGCGTTTTCTCACAAAAGGGCAGCTAACCCCAAAAAATGTCTACTTACTATTTGCAATTTTATAATTTTGTCTTCTATTTCTATCGTCTTTATTTTAAAGTCAACTCCAATTGTGCTGATGTAACTATCTGTGTAAGTATCATCCTGCAAAAAAAAAAAAAAAAAAAAAAAAAAAGAAACGTTATCATTACGTCATTACCAATTTGTCCACAAGCAAATGTGGATCACACACCACTTGATGAAAAGCGGCGCAACGTTCGTTTGGCCATTTTCCGTTTTCCTAATCTATTCATTAGGTATATATATATATTTTTTTTTTTCTGCCCCTCTTGCTCTGTGCATAAGAGAGGAGGTACAATGGGTGGATGTCTCTTAAAGGGATCTCTCGTCATGTCAGACAGGGTGTATAATTGTGCAGGCGAAAAAAAAAAACAAGTAGGGCACTCCCCTCATGCGACTTGCGAGTATAATCCATCTCATTCTCTTGACGCTACATTGTATTACCGCAAAACGAAGGAGCAAACAAGACTTCCCAACGCCACTGTCTCCAATTAATAAAATTTTAAATAAACTGTCACTGTGAGAGGGGGGGGTAGAAGTGAAGCGACAAAAATGATGAGCAAAGGGGGGAAAAGTGCAGACGCGGGTGGCGAAAGAACAGGCGTGGAAAAAACCTTTGCCAAGTGAAATGACCCCACGGTGGTGGTGTTGGGGAGGATGCCTCATGCGCTGAGATGCAAGCCACATAAAAGACCACGCAGAACAAGCACACCACACGACATGTGCGTCATGCGATACACAAGTGAGGGAGAAACCCGACGCTGTCACGTGGGTGCTCCGCCCGACTCAGTAACCCATGCATATTTGGCGCAAGAAGTACAAATGAAGCTCGAACACTTACTAACTGTCATTCATTTTGGTATGCCTAAACTTCTATATGAATGGAGAGGAAACTTTTGCAAAGCGCACGGTGGGAAATGTGGTGGGGGAACATAAAAAAATAAAAAATAAAATAAATAAAATATGTAAAAAAAAAAAAAAAAAAATTAATCCTAAATGAAGGAGGGCACAAAATCTGTTCACATGGAGGGGGACATAAAACATGATGCATACGCATTAGCCTTTTTAAATCTGTTATAAATGAACGGGAGGTGGCTCAATGGAATTGGTCCATCATACGTGCTGCTCAGAGAAAGAATACTAATAAAAAAGGGGTTGTGGTATAGTGGGTGCGAGAGGAAATGCACAAAGGGGGGAAAAGGAACGAACGGATGAGCGAACGGCGCACGAGTGGAAGGGTAAAGGCTATAAATGAAAGGGGCAGATCAATAAAACCAGAAGAACACGCAAAGGCACAAAGGCAAATGCGAAAACGAACATGAACGCGAATGCGCGTGCGAACATGCATGTGAGCATTAATGCAAAGATTAAAATACAGAGTGAAAATAAAAAAACCGGGACGGCAAC